TTTGTTAGGTTAAAACGAATGCCCATATGATCGCATCGCATCATCGTAAGCGTATCTAGATTCAAATCCCAGCCGGTATCAACACTTGTACAAAAACAAATTGTTCGTTTTCTGGTCTGGCTGGACTGATCTTCTTGTATATGTCTCAATAGTGTGATAAAGTCTCAGATATCGAATTACGGCCGCGGCGGCCGGTCTTAACCTAGACTAGCCAACTGTGCAGGACAAAATTATAATCACGAGTAAGTGCGCAAGCACAGATCCTCTCATAGTTCGATGGTACGGGAATCCGACACGATCGGAGCGAGATTAGTGCAGGAAAAACGGCTTTACTTGTTTCGGGAGTAAGTGGGAACACCGCCTACTTCGCGATTCCCGAAGCCGACTTCGGCTTCTGAGAATTTCTCGACAGCAAAATCCAATAAATTATTTTGCCTCAACTCGGGATTCGAATCCAGAACCTCATGTTTAGCGGTCGCGCTTATGATCACTACACAAACAAGGCAATCATTGTCATTGGTATACTTTATTCTAACTGTTACCCAACCATTTCCCTGGGCCTATATATAACTATACAGATAACCCCATCCTATTAACTATCAAAATAGTGTTGTTAAAAGTGGGGGCGGCACTGAAAATTTCGGGAATCAAGGAAGTGACACAACATTACTATTTAAAAATGTATTTATTGCTTTTCGAAGTATTCTCCGCGAAATTTGACACATTTTCCATACGATGGAACCAATCATTGAAGCAACCATTCCATTCGGAAGTTGGGGTCTCCAAAATGGCCGTTTTGTAGGCGTCCACAGCTTCTTCAGGTGATGAAAATCTCTGTCCACGCAATTTATTCTTTATTTTAGGGAAAGTATAGAAATCATTAGGGCTTAGGTCGGGGTTGTACGGCGGATGGTCTAATAATTCTATGTTTTCTTGCTCTAAAAACTCTTTTGTTCTGTGTGCGGTGTGAGAACTCGCATTGTCGTGATGGAGGATGATGCGGCGGTTGCAGTTCTCTTTACGGAGTTCAGAAACGACCTGTCGCAAACAAATGCTAGTATACCATTCTGCATTAATCGTTCTATGTCCCTCAAGAGGAATAGTCGTAACATGGCCGGTTTTGGAGACAAACGTGGCCACCATTTTTTTTGCAACACTCCGTGAACGAACAATTTTTGTTGGCTTTAACTCATTGTCGAACACCCAAACTCGTGACTGGTTTTTTGTTTCGGGTTCGTACGCGTATATCCAGGATTCGTCACCTGATACGATGTTGCATACAGCATTTGAGGATCCTGCGTGGAATCTTTCGAAAGTTCTGACGCACCAAGTAACGCGAGCCGCTTTTTGCTCTTCACAGAGCGAATGTGGTATCCATCGGGAAAACAACTTTTTTACACCTAATTGTTCAAGATTATTTGTATCTGACTCATGCCAATGTCTAAAGTTGCCTGAATTTTGCGGTATGTCACATGTCGATCTTCCTCAGTCAGCTTACGGAGAGCATCAACGTTTTCTTGGGTGACTGCAGTTTTTGGACGACCTTGACGGGGATCATCACTGAGCTTGACACGTCCACGTTGAAATTCAGCAAACCAGCGATAAATTGTGGTTTTAGATGGGGCTTCATCACCAAATGCAGAAATCATCCGGTCAATACACTGTTTTTGTGTTAAACCACTTCGAAAGTCATAATAAATCATCGCTCTTGAATTTTCTCGAGTCAATTCCATTGCATTCCAAAACCTTGTGACAAGACCGAGAATCTTTTTTTAAATAAATAAATGGTATTCAATTTTAAAAAACCAAGGACTTTTCAATTAAAAAGATTTTAATATGACAGGAACTGTGGAAATATTCCATTCCCGATACTTTTAGTGCAGCCTATGTATGTCATTTCCTAAATTTAGATAATTTGTTACAATGTACCTCTTTGCTTCTAATTAAAATGCTTTTATCAAATTCAGTTGTGAGCCAAACCTATCATATAGTCTAACAGATGCACACTGATGTACATAGGCCTACCCCATAGATTGCCTCGGTTAGTTGTCACCCTTGGCAGAAGTGGCAACCGCAGTAAAAAGTGGAGTTGTTTTGAATTGTTATCAGGAAGATGCTGCAGTTCATCTTCTGTTTCATTTCGCCTTTTACCCACGGGATGATATGAAGTAGTGGATTGCGTTATTGAATAATATAACACATTCTAATACGTGGTAGAGTCACGCTGCAGCTATATTATGGTTGTAGCACGAACGGATCGGCTTGACCGGGGAAGGACCACGCTCTCACAGCGAATACCAGCGTAAAATACCAGCTTAATGCTGCTGTGTATCGTATGGTGAATGTAGAGAACCGGAGTCTCTTTCTACTGGTAACGAGGCATTCCATCTTGGTCCTCACGGGTGAAATATTGATTCTTAATCGAGATTAAATATAGATGTCTATGTGCCACAGCATCCGTTTACCATCAGGTGGACTGTGTGCTCGTTTGGCACCCTTAAACTATAAAAAAAAAACATTTATACCATACTCTAGCTATATTATAGGCTATGTAGTAGAAATGGGTCAGCTTCGTTGGGATTGATCACGCTATGCTATCGCAAAATAATAAAAATAATAATAAATAATGTCCTCCAGACCGAATTGTGGTCACGGCGGCCATTCTCGACGGAGCCAATCGCGTTTACAACCACCAGGCCGACGAGGTAATCTCACAAAATAGCCAAGTTATAATATATACTAGATACTTATTAGGTAAGGTTTTAGTTAGTCAAGAGAACTGACGTCAGATCTAAGCCGACTTAAAAAGGCTCCAAATTCGACAGTATTTTTTGTATGTTACGCGATATTTTCGTCGATTGTGAACCGATTTTAATAATTCTTTTTTTTATTGAATAGTGTATACCTCAAAAGTAGTCTAACTTAAATTTAAGGAAAATACCCCTACCTCTAAGAGTAAAAATTGAGAGTGAATTGTTTCATGTAACTATTTAAATGGCACTCTAGTCTCACTTTGAGGTAGCAATACATATTATACAATTAAAATTTAAAAATGCAAGAACTTGCTTCATAGAATTAAAAAAATAAAGTTACATCTTATAGCTAGGCACAAGCCTTCTCTAGTAAGTAAATGCCCGCGGCGCTGACCCTATACGTAATGAAGGAGACGTGGTAACTTTAAGTAATAAGACCAAAGATAAATACAATCACTACGTTTTAAAATCTGAGTAAACTTTTTTTATGGTCTTACTTTATGATTTAAATAAATGACCGACGTACTGCTCAAAAAGCGAAATTTGTTTTTGCGTGGTAGAGCCAGGTAGAGCCTCGGTAGAGTCATGAAATAATGAATTTAAAAATGAAATATTTATTATAGTTAGCATTTTTACAAAAGAAGTGCCTTAGCCGAGGGCCGTGGTGCCACAGTCTTCGTGAAATTTGACATTTGTTGTTGAATTTCACACTTTACAATATAGTTCGATAAATTTCCGCGGGGTTTCTCTCGTGAATTATATTTAGACTACGTTTATTTTTCGACCGGACGTTAGAGATAATAGATTAGTATTTGATTTTTCGAACTTTATTTTTATTTTAAGGCTACTAACGTTTTAAAATGAGGTTCCTCTGACTCAAGAAGAAACGGCAAATGAAAATATACTTATTTTATACATTTCTTTAGTTATATTATTTTATCACTATTTTTTTTAAATCTAAAGTTTAGTTTTTGTAGAAGTTAAGATGACAAAGAAGCACACTGTCTACCTGAGGTTAGGTGTTGAGTGGATGATGTTTCTCATCTGCACCTAATTCTCCTCTCGATCGATTAAGAATCAAAATATTGATGCGTTAAAATTAATTTGAAACGCAATACCAGTAAAAATGGTATGTGTTTCTCTATACTCACTATACTATACATGGCAGCATTAAGCTACTATTTCACGATGGTATTCTGTGAGAGCGTGGTCCTTCCCTTGTCGAGCCGTCCCATTTATGCTACATCGTGACTCTACCACGTAAGTTAAAGCAAATAAGCTTACCATTACCACATAAATCACAGGAGCATTGCTGCAATATTACGCAGGTATTAATTAAGGGTTTCCTTCACTGGTGACTCTAGGTCATTTCTGTGATAGAGCTACATGCAACTAAAAATTCAGCTTGGTGTAGCTCTACCACCTAAAAAGATCACGTGGTTTTAGGTCTTTTATCTTTATCCAGCCGTAGCATCCACTGTTTATGCTAATTGGGACATGACCTGTCCTATAATAGGAAATATTATATGGATCGATGATAGATGTACTAAAAATTATCTCCCATCTTGGAAGGTGATCTATGTTGTTTGAGCATTTTCAAGTATGTATAATGTGTATATAAGACACCGCCATCTAACGGAGACCACGAGATATGTGTTGGTTATACACATCATAATCGTCATTAGGTTCGGCTCTACAAAATCAATGCCTATTAAACTTCATAATTTTTCATTTACAACATACATGTCAGAATAAATATATATCTATTTCTCTGTTTGTTATATCAAAATAATAGCTTTTACTAAATACCTAAGAAAGTATATATGGTACTAATAATATTTTAATATTCCTTAGAAATAATGTATATGGCAAAACAACGTTTGCCGGGCCAATAATTTGTCCTCAACAAAAATGTTGTAAAATCAATTCTTTATAAGCGCCATCTTTACGATGCTTATAAAACCTTTATATCGTTTTCCTTTTTAAAAGTTTCATAGCTACAATGTTTAACATTTACACCGTTAGGTGGCGTGTTAACAATAAAGGGTAATTGAAGCTTTTTCTGTAGATTTTAAGTAATTTTATGTTTATAAGTTCATTAATTAGGTGATTTTTTATTATTTCCAAAACATTTAATTTTACAACAATATAGTTAAAATTATAATCTACACTTGCACGAAATTGTATGCACTGGTAAACACGGAGCAGGTGGAAGCCTACTGCGATTACGAACTATCAATTTCATTCAGTATTATGGTTAACTCAACGGTTGACGGTTGAGTCGGTCGGCGAAACGATCGCGGATTCGTTAAATTTAAAATTCGAACAATCGTCATTGGACTTGATGTTTTGACTATCGTTTTTATTGAAATTTAAAACGCTATGCTCGAACAAAGCTGGAAGCCGATCTCAGATAGTTTGGAGGAAGAATTTAATAGACCGGTGGAATCTATAATGAGGTGTGAGGATTTTAAGAGTAATTTTGCGAGGAGGCTTTCTAATCGGTATATCTCTAAGTCACCGGTGTCTGGTTCAAGGCAAGATATGCTGTTGAAACTGCAACCAACGAATAACACACGGGATTTTCAAAGCCCAGTAAGTATGTTTTTCAAGTTTTGTGTAACAATTTCCCGCGTTCTAAATTGTAATGGTACGGAGTAAATAATATATTATATTCTTTGCTAATGGGTTCTCATCGAATACACGAAATTGTTTCGTTTTTTGTTTTATTTTCACAATATTTATTGTGTGGAAATAAGTGAAAGTATTTACTATTTAGGTGATATCGATTTTGATAACCGTTGTAAAATATTTCCATGTTTCATCATAAGGTATTGTGTGGTTGAAGGGATATTAGACAAGATATATTTAATCGATAAATATGGGCAATCATTACTATGTTGTAAGATAATAGAAGTTTTTATCTTATTCACTTTCAAATATTCCAATATTTTTATGTAACGATTGGCAAAGATCATATTTTTTAAAATTTATGATGTTATAAATTCGTTTTTGATGTTTTTTTTCCTAATCATATTATGTTTTATGTAAAAAAGTAGATATATTTTATTCATAACGTTTCGATTAGTTTATATTCTTGTCAGTTATGCAACAGTTTATTTGTATTAAATTTGTATAGAAAATTACGCAAGAGTTAGACCATTAAAAATATTGTTGGGGAATGAGACTAGAGTAGATTTAGCATTAGATGAGCTCCAAAGATTGTGGGGCGAATGGGTCGACTTGACCGGGGAAGGACCACGCTCACAGAATACCAGCGTAACATAACAGCGCATAGTTGCTTTGTTTCGCATGGTGAATGTAGAGAACTCGAGACCCGACGCATTTCATCTTAGTCCCCAAGGGTGACAACGCATCTGCATATTGATCCTTAATCAAGAAAATATGTTAATGTTTATAGGCCGCAGCATCCACTTACCATCAGGTAGACTGTGTGCTCGTTTGTCATACTCATTTTATTAAAAAAAAAACTGTTATTATCATTATCGTTACATCCACACAGGAATGCCACACAACACGATACTATGTCCCCCGCCTTCATTGACTTTGTTTTGCTAGATCAAAAACTATAGCATAGTACACTATAGTCACAGTTTAGTCTTGATAGGGTTTTATAACGCAGAGCACCTATGACTATAGAGTAAGTACTTTATATTAATATGGACATCATATTAATGTAGAGTAAATTTTATTGAAATAAGAGTTACAATAAAATTTACTATACAAAGAGCACAATGTCCACCAGATGGTAAGTGGTTGTTGCTCCCGTAGTAACACATAAATCCTTGATATTGAGGTATAACTTTACGTACTATAGCGGAATAGATTTTCGATAGAAGAATAGATAGAATGCAATGGAATTATTTATTATTAATGCAGATTACAAGTAGTTCTTAGTGAATATCATTTTTTACTTCTACCTCGCCTTTTACGAGCTGTATTAGATTTTAAATATAATAAAATATGCTAACATTACGACTCATTTCATCTAGTATTCCTCAAAGTCTCAAAACTATAATGACAAACTGTGTGTTGCTAGCTTGCTAGTGATTCTTTGGAACCGGATGTAGTCCTGCACTGATGGCTGTTTATGGAAGCTTAAAGTCGTTTAGCGAGCTTTGTTATACGCTCAGTTTCTCTACATGATAGAGTCCGCAACGAAAATATGCATAGTAGAATCAAAGTTTGACCAGCTGCGTGGCGCAGTGGATTAGCGATGAGCTGCGGCGCTGTGGGCCGCGGGTTCGATTCCGGCACGGAACAAGTAATTGTATGACCTACAAATAATTGTTCCGTGTCTGCATGTTTGTCCTTGTGAAATTTACGATTGTAAACTATCTCTACAATACGGGAGAAAATCCTAGTGAGGGGTAACATTAAAAAAAAAGATAAAAAAGTAACCCATACAACCCATGGAATTATTACTATACTTAGTGTCAGTATCAGTGGTTATACTGGGGTCAGCAAACCTCGGGGGAAGCCATTAAACAAAGCTAGCTAAAAAAATGGTTCCTCTCTTGACGCTACACTCATGATGATACCATATACAAAAGTTGCGAAAGGTTTCAGATCATTCAAATTTTCGAAAGTGGGTGAAATCTGATTTACAAAATTCCATTACTATTATACATACATAAATACATACATATATACATAGTGAAGCAAAAATAAAGCGTGAAATTACTTGTAAAACTATTTATATTTGCTAAAAATATTTATCTTTCCATATTTACTACGGATTACTAAGCAGAAATGGCAAGGTCATATAGCTCGAAGACCCGTTAACCGATAGGGGAAAGAGTTCTTGAGTGGCAACCTCGTACCGATTAACGAAGTGTAGGATAGCCCCCCACTAGATGGAGTGACGAACTGGTAAGATATGTAGGAAGTCGCTAGATTCAGGCGGCTCAGGACCATGTTTTGTGGTATTTCTCAAGGAACGCCTATGTTTGGTATGGACTCGTAAAAGGCTGTATTGATAATGATGATGATAATCATTTTACATGATGTGAACTTGAAATTATTAAACAGCAAAAAGAGCATGGTTATTTTACCACTTTTTTATTAAGTCACATTCTTGTTTGTCTGTCAGACTGTCGTTAAGGTTGGAATCTTGAAACTCAAATGCACTTCCCGATGAGTTAGAGACATGAAATATTGAACATCTGATTAGTTAATAATAAGATATCTAATTATTAACTAATAAGATTACATAATTAAACATAAACAATTGATTTCTTTTAATATACCACGTTTCTTTTTTCATATTCCTTGTTGTTTGTTTTTGTGTTTGTTTGTGAACTTGTCATCTAATTCTGAGCTATGTTCAAAATTTCATGTCTCTAGCTCATCGGCAAGTGTTCGAAATTTGAGTTGCAAGATTCCAACTGGAACGACTGTCCGACAGACACACAAGAATGATATTAGTAATTTTAATGTAAGTTCGTCTTTTTAAATATTAAAGTGCAGTTCTATATTCAAATTAAAAAAAAAACGTTGAAGTATAATGTACGTGGTACACATACAAATTCAATGTTAAAAAAATCTATTTTTATTTCTTTAATTGCTTAATTGTTGTCTCTAGCAAACCAGTTTTGTGTGCCAAGAAATGTTATTAAGACATTATGTGAAGAAAATTGTAACAATGCGTCTCTCGCATTTCCGCTTGAAAATTCCGCGACGTGTGCTAATGCGTTGTCAAATTTGGAGCAGGTTCCGGAACTTTCATGACAGTCAATTAAATTTATGAATAACACATCCAACACAGTGATGTATAGTCGCACAATAAGCTTTTTTTATATTTTATGTGATGTCAAAACATTTTGCATTTTTATTAGCTCGTAATAGTTGGGAGTTTAAAAAAAACAGAAATTGATGTTCTTCGATTTTCTTAAATCTAATCGAAACAACGCCACATTAATAGATCCCCCGGCGGGTTACCAGTTGATAAATATATTTAGGAATAACATATCATAAACATAATGACAAAACATAGTCCGACATTTTGTTCAGATTATTGGCTAGTACTTATTGTTCTCTAGCGACAATCCTTGCCTTCACCTGGGTATAACCTATTGAACTTAAAGATTTTCGGATAAAGTATAGCCTAGATAACTCCTGTATTTGCTCTCTATCTGTTCGTTAAGTTTTATTACAATCGGTTCAGCCATTCCGAAGATTAGCCCGGATAGAGAGACAGACCGATGGACAGACAGACAGACAGATAAAACAAATTTAAAATGGTTATTAGTGTTTTATGGTATGCAAACAACCCCCTCAGCTCAATATAAAGCATTTATTTCGATTACAGACAAACAATTTTATTTTAAAGTGTATAGATAAATTAGAAAAGTTACGCAAGTTCTAGAGCGGTTGAGTCCTACTAGTTCATGCACGTAACATCTTATACATTTTTCTCTTATCAAATAAATAGACATTTTTAAAGACGACGTTTGTTTGGTTGCGTTTATTGAAATTCTATTGCAAAGATATATTATATGAAGAGGGCTATGCTCCAAGATTATCCGTAAACACCGACATAGCACATCGGATCAGTAAGCTGAAGTGGATATGCCGGTCAAGACAGGAAAACCGACAAACGATGTGGAAGAAAAGTTCTCGAGTGGTAGCATCGTACCGGTAAGCGAAGAGTATATTGGTATCCCTTATAAGGGACGAAGACTAAGTAAGTGATGAAGAAGATGGATGCTGGTGGTTTAGGGCCGCGCTTTGTGTCATTCCTTGCGGGAGGCATATGTGTTGCAGTGAAGTTGTGATGGGCTGTAAGGATGATGAAAGATATGTGCATGACTTGCCTTGAGGTGGTGGACAAAGAGCATGCGATCACCTCATGTCGTCTCGTGGGTGTCATAAGTGAGGCAATTATTCCATTCTCAGAAATAATTTAATCACAATTCAAGACCCGCTAAATTAGATATACATAACATAAACATAAACACTCACACCTGTCACCCACAGGGGTAGGTAGAGACTATGGACTTCCATTTGGTACGATCCTGACACAACTCTCTCGCTTCCTCCACATTCATATACCTACGCATTCACTCTCGTCGGTTAAAGGTACTCTTGATTTGGCCCGTTTTCAATATATCGCCAAATTTGGTCGTTAAAAGCTGTTATTTCAACATTACAAGCGGACACTTCAATTTTATTTATTTGTATAGATGATTTCATTTATTATTAACTTAGTATAAAAAAAATATTACAAACTATAATAATAAAAAAAAAAAAACTAAAACTAGAAACTTAATTATCATATAGTTCCTACATATAGTATAAAATAGTTATATTATTTTAAATAATTTATGATAAAAGGCCGATTTTTCAATAATCAGATAAAAATTATTAAAAATACGTCATAAACAAATTTGTATACAATTGTATAAATAAAACAATTGTTTTACTGTTACATTCAGTCTGGTTATGACCAGGTTAATTTATTTTATGTATAACTATTCAATTTAAAAATCATCCATAAGACTAAAAAAATGAGCCGATCGAACAATGCTGCATTGGATATACACTGTAAAATTTAAAAAAAAATGTTAAGATTG